TCAGCTAAAATCAAGGTGTTGACAGGGCTCTCTTCCTTTCTGGAGACTATTAGAAGGAATCTGTTTCCTTATCTTTTCCAGCTTCTTGAGGTTGCCCCGATATCTCGTCTTGTGGTCTCTTCTATTTTCAAAACTAGCACAGCTGGTTGAATCCATTTCATGATGCCATCTCTCTGGTTCTGAGTCCTCTGCCTGCCTATTCCCCATTTAAGAACACTTTTGATTGCATTGGGCCCAGCCAGATAACCCAGGATATCTCTTTATTTTAAGGTCAGCTGGTTTCCTACTTGAATCCCCCCTTGCCATGTAACATAACATACTCACAGATTCTGGGGATTAGGATATCGACATCTTTGGGGAGGGGTACATTATTCTGTCTACCACATACTTCTAGCTCAAACTATTCCTGAATTTCAGATGCACATACCTAACAGCCTCTCTGACATCTTGACTGGGATGGCTAATTGGCATCTAAAGCTTTACGTGTCCAAAAACAAACTCCTGATCCCTGCCCTACTCCCCCAACCTTCTTTTACTATGATTTTTCCCATCTCAGTAACTGGTACCACCGTGTATTCAGTTGCTCATCTGCCTTCTGTTTTTCCCACCATACTTTCAAGCCATCGGAAATTATAGTGGACTCTAACACTCAAATATATCCTCTGTGGGACAACTTTTCTTTACCTCTTCCACCCTGTTCCAAGCTATCTTCTTCTCTTATTTAGATTGCTGGATGGCAATAAAAAATGCCTCCTATGTGGATTTCCTTGCTTCTACCCTTTCCCCATTCAGTCTGTTCTCATTACAACACCCAAAAGGAACTTTTAAAAATATAAGTCAAACCAAAATGTCTTCCCATCATGTTTAGAATAAAATCCAAAGCTCCGTGTTCTACAGAGCTTCCCATGCACATCCTCCTGGCCTCTCCTGCCATCTCAGCCTCTACTGCTGTTCCACATACACTCCAAGCTCCTGTCACTTCAGGTTCATTCCTTTTAGCTCAGGAAGCTCTTCCCTCAGATATTTCTCCAGGTCTCTGATTAGCGTGGTTTTCCCCAGCCACCCTACTTAAAATAGCTTGAATTTGTTGTATTTTACCAGAATTTAGTAGCTTAAAACAACCCAAATCTATTAACTTATAGTTTTGTAGGTTAGAAATCTGGCACAGATCTTGCTGGCTAGTATCCAGGTGTCGTCAAGCCTGTGCTTTCTGGAGACTCTAGGGGAGGGTCTGTTTTCTGCTCTTTCAGGTGGTTGGCAGAGTTTAGTTTCTTGTGGCTGTAGGACTGACATCCCCATTTTCTTGCTAGCTGTAAATTGAGAGCCCTTCCTAGCTTCCATAGTTTGCTATATTTCTTGACTCGTGACCTCTTCCTCCATCTTGAAAGTTAGCGATAGTAGATGGAGTCCCTCCCATGCATTGAATCTCTCTTTCCTCTTCTTCTGTTATCCTTGTAGCATCTCTCCGACTCACCCTTCTGCTTCCCTCTTCTACTTTTAAGGACCTATGTGATATTATTTGGTCCTTCCACATAATCCTGGGTCATTTCCCCATCTCAAGGTCCTTAAGCTTAATCACATCTTCAACTCCCCCTCTCTCCCCCCATGAAATACAATATATTTACAGATTCCAGGAATTAGTGGGTCAGGTCAACATCTTTTTGGACTTCTATTCTCTCTACCACATGGCCCTCTCCATCTGTATCTACTTATCCAGCTTCATTTTTTATTTTTCTTTATAGTGCTGATCACAAACTGATTCTAATTATTTTACTGTTTGTCTTCCTAACTAGACAATACATTTCTTTAAGTCAGAGATTGTCCTTTTATGTCACTTTGGTAGATTCAGCACCTACAGCAGTGCCTAGCATACAGTAAGTACTCAATAAGTAATTGTTGAAAGAACTATGAGTTTATCTGGGTCATCTTGAGTTTGAAATGCTATGAGATAGTCAAACAGACCTGTTTAGTAAGCAGTTGAGTATACATATGGGACCTGATGTTTGTTTTTGTGTGGGAGGGAGGCAGAGGGGGTTTAGAAGTGGTATAGTGGTAACTCAAAAACACGGATGTCCTGAAGTAAAATTCAAACCTGGCACTGCCCAACTATGGACAAATGAAATCAACCTCCATGTAAAGCAGGAATACCCATGGCACCTACCTTTGTGGTTGTTGATGGGATTAAGTGAAGTTCTGTGTATAAAGTGCTTATAGTTCTTAGCATATAGTAAATATTCAGTATATGTGTGCTGTACCTCCTTTTACCATGTATGACAGTGAGAAGAATTGGTAAGTTGAGGAATGAAGTTGCTCCAGGACAGAACTCATAGGAACACTAAGGGGAAGAAAGAGGAAGAGCAGGTAACAATAGCAATAAACGTTGATAACGGCTAGAGGGGCTGACAGTTCATGCCATGGAAGTCACAGGAAGCATAGATTGTTTCAGGAAGAAGCTCATGGTGCGCAGTGTCAGAGAGGTAAAGCAAAATAATCAACACAAAGGAGGAGCTGTTTTAATTTCAAGAATAAGAATATTCAGTAGAAAATCCTTGACCAAATCCCATAAGTAGTGAGGGAGTGAAGCAGAGACTGCAGTTTCTACCCAGTATCTGCTCTGTCTTCTTCTTTCGCAGTGGGACATCTGGCATTTAGCAGAACACCCAGGGTAAAGGCTGAATTATCAGCCTTCCTTGCACATTGGCAAGGCCACTTCACGAGGCTATAGCTAATGGGCTATACATTTGAGAGACATGTGAGGCTATTGGTGGTTGTCTTTAAAAGAAGAGGGTCCTCTACAAAGCAAAAGAAAAATATCAACAAAATGAGGCAACCTATCGAATGGAAGGAAGTATTTGCAAACCATATATCAGATAAGGGATCAATATCCAAAATATATGAGAAACTCATTACAACTCAATAACAAAAAGACAAATAACTCAATTTTTTACATGGGCATTTTAAAAAAAAACTATATTCAAATAGACAATAGGTATCTGAAAAAAAATGCTCAACATCACTAGTCATCAGGGAAATACAAATCAAAACCACAATGAGATATCACCTTATTATTATTATATGAATCATTAGA